TGCTGCCGCCCATGGGCGCCTCGCCCGCCTTCCCGGGTCTGTACCGCACTCCTTACCAGTCAGATTGCGCTAAAGCCGATTCTTCTGTCTCCGAGGTTACAAGGCTCCTCTCTCACTATTGTTCAGTTGTTTGTTCCAGGTGGTTTCTCCACAATTCAGTTGTAATTCCAGGTTGGTCCTGGGAGGAGGTCAGTGTGACTTCCACTCACTCCTTCATCATCTTGATTCTCCCAGAAACAGCTTTTAATAACACATCGCCAGATGACTTGGGGCATCTATATTGAAAGCAGTTCAAAGAATTGAGCAACACTGTTTTAATAAAACTCCTCCCATTCACATATCCTTATTTGCTGAACAAATAAGCAGAATTTTTTTTTTATAGTGCTTAGGTCTCTAAAAATGAAAACTAGATCTCTGAACCCAAATTCCTTCTGGCAATGAGTAAATTAATTCACAGATAAAAGAACTAATTGAGGGGAAAAAAATCCATTTTACTAAAATATCTATTTCCAAATCAATATTACTTTGTTTTTAAGTATCACTATAATTGTAATAGACTATACATAATTGTTCGTTGTAATGATAGCCATCTAAAAGATTATTGTAAATAGTGCTTTATGGTCAAAGGAAATTTGAAAACTATATTAATCAAAATAAATGTTGCTGATGCTTGCCTGCCCAACCTCATCCCCCGTTCTTTTCCCATTTGTTAGCTTTGCAAAATCTTTGCTGATCTTCTAACTATCCCTCTAAGATACTGGCACTTCTCTCAGCCCGGGGTCTTTGCACATGCTTTCCCTTCTGCTTGGATTGCTCATCCCATAGGTATAACGATGGCTGCCACTCCCACCCCTTGTAGTCTTTACTCTAAGTCACCTCAGTGAGGCCTTCTCTGACCTCTGTATCCAAAATTCCTCCTCCTACCTCTGAACCCTTCACACTCTCTGCCTTGCCTTTTTTGCTCTTAGCACTAATCTTCTCTTCTTACAAGGACACCACTCATATTGGATTAGGGCTGATCCTCATGAACTCATTTTAACTCCTTTAAAGGCCCTATGTTCAAAACAGTCGCATTCTGAGGTGTTAGGCATTAGGCCTTCAGCATATCAATGGGGGGATGGGGGTGGTGGACGCAATTCAGCTCATAACACATGGGGAAGGTTCACTTTATACATATTCCTCCTGCTCTATGCTTATGATTTGTGCACTTGATGAAGTGCATCCAACTTCAATGAAGATCGGAGAGGCACCAAATTTATAAAAATTCTATTACTCAGTACAGACAAAAAGGCTTGGGGTTCACTCCGGCAGTGCTCTGACTAAAAGTCACAGTGTGTCTCCTAAGGCTGCAGGGAGGTACATGCAAGTCCCTGTGGCCTTGGGCAGCCGGAGAAAGGGAGGGCACACCAGGTCCCCTGTCCATCCAGACAGTGCGGATAGGGCTGAGATCAGGGCAGGCACAGGAGCTGGGAGACTTTCTGGTCCAGAAAACCAGGGAATGAGGTCCTGAACCAGGACAACGACAACAGAACAGTTTCAGTGGTCCCAGCGACTTGGAGGGAGTGGCTGTGACAAGTCTGGAATGAAGGATGAGTGCAGGTAGAGGGGGGACAGGCAGAGACTCGGGGGGGGGGGCGGTGCAGAATGCCCCAGATGGATGCACCGGCCAGCGGGTGGGATGGCAGTGCTCAGGTGGAGCAGGGTCGGGGGCAGGGCCCAGCAGGGTCAGCTCAGGGTTCCGGACACAGGCTCCTGAGAGCTGGGCTCCGAGGCTCCCCAGGGCCTCTGCCAGGCTTGTTTGTATCCAGCCCAGGCCATGCCAGCTTCTGCATTTGCCCTTTTTGGAGTCACCTTTTGCCTGGAAAGTGACTGGGGCTGGGGGTGGCTGAGCTGACTGTTATAATTATCTTGTGCCTCAATGGAGGGGAGAGGGACAGACTCCTGGGGTTCAGGGGAATCCCTTGAAACATCTTCTACGTCAGTCAGGCCCAAATAAGTTCAGGGATGAGGACCAAATACCCAGGTCTTCTTAAACCCAACTCTGTCACCTGCTCACTAGGGGCCGCTTGCTCTCTCCCGGCCTCAGTTTCTCTGACTACACAACTGGGAAAGTAGACTAAAGCAGCGCTCCTCAGGCTTTCCCCCATTCCTGCTGTGAAACTTATTAAACCCAGGTTGCGGTTCCCCATCCTGAAGCTGCTGAGTCAGAAACTCTGAGGAGTGAGGGGCCTGGGAACCTGCAGTTTACATGCTGCCCTGGGGATTCTGTATTCACCAGGCAGGGTCTGAGACCGATGATGAATTGGAAGGAGCTTTGATGTGACCTCACAAGATTTGGTCCTGACTCTGCCATACTGTCCTGACATGTGGCCCTGGGGTAGTCCCTTTGCCTCCTTGGGCCTCAGTTTCCCAATCTCTAAAATAGAGAAGGCTATTCTAATGATCTGCAAGGGGGTGGGAGGTGGTGTTCTTGAGCACCTGCCAGGTGCCAGCACCCAATGCCAGGGGGGTTTTAGGGTGACTGTGTCCAGAAAGATGCTCCTGAAAAAAATATCTTAGTTGTGTAAAAGGGACTTCAGCAGCTGCAGTGCTAAGCACCTTGGAAAAACAATTATCTTTCAAATATCCTCATGTTCATCTTAGAGTTTAATAATAATGTTATATTTATTTTATAATATATTGGTGTTATATTAACATAGTATATTATATGATAGTTATTATTATTATCCATTTTAAAAATGGGAAAATTGAAGTTCAGAAGGCTAAGGGCCTCATCGAGTCAATCAAGTGACAGAGGTGGAATGGCAGTCCCATTCTCCTGACTCTAAAATTCTTACTCTTTAATGGCCTCCTGGTGCAAGAGTTGAGTGATGTCGAAAGCTGTCCTGTGGATGGGGATTGGCGTCTGATTTTTTTTTTAATGTTTTATTTATTTATTTATTAAAGATTTTATTTATTTATATTTGGAGAGGTGAAGGGAGGAAAAAGGAGAGAGAAAGAAACATCAATATGTATTTGCATCTCACGTGTCCCCTACTGGGGACCAGACCTACAACCCAGGCATATGCCCTGACTGGGAATTGAATCAGTGATCCTTTGGTTTGCAGGCCTATACTCAATTCACTGAGCCACACCAGGCCAGGGCTATTTATTTATATTTTTATAAATATAGAGAGAGGGGAATGGAGGGAGAAAGAGCAGGAGAGAAACATCAACATGTGTTTGCCTCTCACACACCCCCTACTGGGGATCTGGCCTGCAACCCAGGCATGTGCCCTGACTGGGAATCAAACCAGTTACCCTTTGGTTCGCAGGCCGATACTCAATTCACTGAGCCGTAACAGTCAGGGCTGATTGTTTTTAATATGAAGGGACTGGTTGTTTCCCTCACTATTTAGCAGGCAGGGTTTCCAGATGCCTTGAGGTAAGGGTTAGGGGAGCATTGCTCTGAGCATCCAATACATGGCCAGGGGCTAGGTTTCGCTGAATGTACAGTCACTGGGCTTTATTTCTAGAAGCCAAGGACTCGGGGAGAACTGATTTGGGAGGCTCCTTGCTCATTTTCTAAGCTGCTGCAGCATCTGGGCTTCCCTAGCCTGGACCTGAAGGCATGGGGTGCCTTGTATTTCTACAGAACCTCTGTGGCAACAGGAGCCTTGGTCCTCCTCAGCCACATGTCCAGCCTCCACTTACCCAGGAGGACACTGGGGAGAGTGGGAGACATTACTTATGCTCATCAGTATTCCTGGTCTTCCTCCCCTTCCTTGGCATAGGAAAGGATCATACTTCCCCTTTGAGGTCAGGCAGGGTCACGTGACCCACTTTGGCCCTGATGTTCCTGTGTGTGACTATGCTTTCTTAGCTCTGGGAACTAAGTTGCTTGAGGGCCAAATTCAGCCAAGGGCTTCCCCTGTGGAACTTATGAACAGAAACAATGTAGTGGGTGGTTGGAACATGGGCCCTTGGAGCAAAGTCCTCAGGTTCCAAGCCCAGCTCTGTCACTTTGCCGTGTGACTCTGGGCAAGTTGTGTGTTCCTAGGTGCCTTGGTTTACCCATGTGCAGAATAGGGACTATCCTGGTATCTGCCTCATGGTTCTCTCATGGGGTTAAAGGAGATCAAGTCCCAAAGCCTCAGTGCGGGGCTCAGAAGGTGGTGTGCGCCCAACAAACGTGAGTTCTCAGGAGGACGGTGCTGACAGCTAACCTTTTTAGCCTCTCTTATGTCTCCCCTGGGATCTGGGCAAGTCACACACTGGCAACACAGTAGAGGAGAGGATGGGGGGAGGGCAGCTGAAAGCTGAGAAAGGAGCGGGGACCGTGGTCAGTGTGGCACACAGGAGTGAGGCTGCAAGAAATACCGCTGTCTGGGTGAAGCCTGATGATTTTGAACTTGTAGCTTTTGAATCCTGGCTCTCCCCATGGGCTGAGGAGTGGTGGGGGGAAACGGAGGCAAGAGGGATCAGCCAAGCTAAGTGAGAGCAAAGGCAGTGAGAACTGAATTTAAAGGTCCTCCTGCCCTGCCATTGCAGGGCCTCAGAGTTGTGTGACATTTTTCAGCCATGAACCAAACCCAACCTCTATCCAGCTGTAGCTACAATTTGCCAGGTGTCCCCAGCATAGCCATGGTGGGGCAGGGAACACCCAGACCCTGAGAAAGGGTCCTTCATGGAGACACACCCTGACTGCAGGGAAAGTGGAATCTTTTATTGAAAGCTTAAAGTGTTCAACGTAGAGTCCAACATGGAGTCTGAAAGGCCTTGGTCCTCAAGGTGACCTTCTTCCCCCTGCGAGGGGGCTGACCGTGGATGGAACTGTTTGCCAATAGGGGCAAAGAATGGCTGGATCCTTTCCTGGGGTGAGGGATAGTTGGGTAGAGGGTGGAGGGCTGGGCAGGGACCTGTTGTGGGGGCTGAAGGGACTCGGGGCCGAGAACTATGTCAGGCGAGCCTGTTCGGGGTGGCAGGGGGTGTGGTTCAGCAGCGCCTCTGTCTCCTGTTTCTCAGGCACTCAGCACCAGTAGGTCCTGGAAGGCAGAAAAGAGAACCCAGTTAGCGGGTGGGGTGGCTTCCAGCTGCAGCCTCGGCAGATAGTCACCTGCCTTTGGATCAGGCAAGTCACATTCTGGGAAGGAGCAACTCTGAACCACGGGGGCACTGGGGTCGAAGGGGCCTGAGGATCACCCTGGCCATGTCATTAGCAACAGGGGACCTTGGACAAAACACTTCTCTCCCTGCCTCTCATATCCTTCTTGCCCAAAATAAGAGAAACAGGCCTGAGCCTCTCTCCCGACTCTTCTAATATCCAGTTTTCATAATTTAAAAATATCTGCAATGAAATAAATAATAAAAGGAATAGATTTAACCCATAGAAGAAAAATGAGTACCCATAAGTTCACACTGACATAAATAATTGAGTGAATAAATAAATGGTGGAGAAAGGATGGCTCTTCCTTACAGCAGAATTCCAACTAATGAATGTAAAAGGAATTCTAGAAATAGAAATTCACCATCAGGCAAACACCAAGGCAATCTGCTGCAGGCAAGAACCATTACTGAGTGCAGAGATCAGTGGGAGAAAGTGTGATGAACAACAGGGTTTTTGCATAGTCTCAGAGGATCTCCCTGTGAGATATTTATTAGTAACAAATTGAAAAATAGTAACTTAGTGGAGGAGCCTGACAGGAACCACCTTAATCACATGTTCAGAGTCACATCTCCAGGAATAAGATGCTACCGTCATGTGCCCCTGATATGGCACACTGAGAAGGGCACATTTTGGTGGCATTCTTGCCAGAAATACATAACCTCCATCTAATCATAAGAAAACATCTGTCACATCCAAACTGAGGAACATCTCCCCAAATGGGCCAAACCCTTCAGAAATGTCAAGGTCATAAAACACAAGGAAAATTGAGGAACTATCACAGATTAGAAGACACAAAAGAGGGGTGACGACAAAATGCAAAGTGGGCTCTTGCACCAGACAAAGGACATTAGTGGGAAACCTGGTGAATGAGGTCTGTGGGTTAGTTTTGTACCAATGTTAATGTCCTGGATTTGACCATTGTACTCTGGTTATGTCAGATGCTAACTGAGTGAAGAGTATTCTGGAACTTTCTGTACTATTTTTGCAACTTTTCTGTAAGTCTAAAATTATTGCAAAGTAAAAAGTTGAAATAAATGACTAGACCCATATAATCACAATAAGAATAGCTACCATTTACAGAGGGCCTGCAAGGCCGAGTCTTTCTTTAAACCCGTGATCCTCCACACTTCAGATCTAACACCTCATTTTACATTTTATTACTAGTATTTGGTTTATCTCTTTTATTATTCTGAAAGAAGATCCATAGGTTATATAATCTACTTACAGATATATTTTAAAAACCAGTGTAAATCCCTTACTGGAATATAAAGAAGAAATAGAAGGTAAGTAATTTATGATATAATACTGTGTTTTGACATAAAATAATCAAGCATGATTATTCAGGAAAGAAAAATTCATCCCCACTCATATCAAAAAGGCCCTCAGGTTGCTGAGGGGGTTGCAATAAGGCCCCAGCTGAGAACCACCGACGTAAGCTGCCTCAATTATTTCAGTGCAAAACCTACCCCTCACTAGCTGGGTGGCCTTGGGCAAGTGGCCTACTCTCTCTGATATTCAGGTCCTTTACCTAGAGCACAAGGGCAAACATCAGCTACGGTTATGGTAAGGCCCACGTGCATACAGAACAGCGCATGGGGCACCGCACATACTCAGCAAATGGTAGAGATGATGACGATGATGATGAAGAAGAAGATGAAGAATTTGTGCCAATCCCACTTTTTAAAAGTGAGTAATAACAGTTAACACAAAAATACTGTACTCGTTTAGTTTCCCACCAGAAATTCCATGAGATAGGTGTTGTTTTACCCTTTTTCAGATGAGAAAACTGAGGCTCAGAGCCGTGCTGAGGGAGGAATCCAAGAGAAGCTCCAGGACTGGCTCCCCTCTGTGGACGGTCCCTCAGCCTGCATCTGACCCTGCCCACACCGCCCGCCCAAGGCCACTGCCACCTCCCTTGACGGCTCCCCTACGGTGGTAGGAGCTCCCCCTTGAGCCAAGGCCAAGCCTGGCCTGAGTGTGAGGAGCTGGGCTCCCCGCATACTGCTGGCGACAGCGCACATGGTGCCGCCTTTCGGTCGGGGGGGAAGTTGTCAGTCTGGGGCAGAGGCCCATTCATTCCACTTCTGGGAATATGTTCCAAGGAACCAAATCCTGAATCCAGACACAGTTTGGTGCATCAAGATGTTCACTGCAGCATTCTTTATTATCATGAAGACATGGACAGACGCTTCTAGAATGCTTACTAAGTACCAGGGGCTGTACAAGGCACTTCACAAGCAGAATCTTATTTTACCCTAATAGAGTCTTAGGTTAGCCTGATAGGGAGGTGCGATGCCAAGCCCCTTTTTACAGAGGGGAGCACGGAGGCTCAGAGGAGGTTAGTAGCTTGCCCCAGTCACCCGGCTGGAAACTGCCAGAGTCAGGATTTGAACCCAGGCCATGGGGCTCCAGTGCCCTCATCCTTTAACCCTAGAGCTCTACTGACTCCCTGATCAAAACCATGTTTCAAAATAAAACTCCAAAAAGATTGGAATACAAACTAGGAAATGTTCTCAGTGATAATTGCTAGGTTGTATACATGTCTAGGAGGGTAAACACATGTTTGTTTAATCTTTTGTGTATTTTCCAAATTTCAGACACTGAGCATGTGTGGTTTTTATGATGAAAACAAAGATCCTACATTTGAATTTTAAAGCACCTGCCATGATTATAATTAGCAATTCCTTCAGGAATATTTACCCAAAGGCCCATCTCCCCACTGGCTGGGAGAGCTTTGTAAGGAGCAGGATTATACATATTGTATTCACTGCTGCATCCCCAGCCCCTTGCATGTTGTCTGGTACACACTAGGTACTCAGTAAGTTTTTCCAATGACCAACATCACACTTTCACTTTGGGCAAACTCCTTGCTGATTTGAGCCTCAGTATTCTCACCTGTAAGATGGGGGCAAAGACATCTGTCGTGAGGACTGGATGAGATCGTGCACTTGAAAAGCGTCATTTGAGGCTTCTTAACAGCTTCGTTTCTAAGTGCCTCAGCCCCATCCTTTGAAAAAGAGGCCCCTCTTGCCCTATCCTGCCCTAAGTTTTATCTCCCCTTACCTCCAAGACGTCGATGTCTGCATTGCTGAAGTCGATGTTAAGGATTTTGGGGAGAGGGACACCGGAGCCCAGCACAGCTGTGGGGGGAAAAAGTGGTCAGGAACAGTCAGCAGGGCCAAGAGGTGTCAGCCTTTGGAGAGCCACTAGTATTTGCAAGAAGGCTAGTTATTTCTTTTACGTCTCTGGGCCTTTGTCCTTGCAGTTCCTCCTGCCCAGACATGCTCCCCACCCTTGCCTGCATGCGGAGCTCTCAGGCTTCCTGAGACGCTGTTTGGATGTCACCTCTGCTATAAGGCTTCCTTGCCCCCCGCCAAGCAGCTCTGGGCTCCTGCCGTTCCTCCTGAACAACTCCATCTCAGAAACCACGTAACACTGATTCTCTGTTTCCACATCTGCTGCCTCGTCTCTACCAGGTTGTGGATCTCCTCAGGCAAGGACTGTGTCCCCGGTGTCACCCAGCCCAGGGCTGGGCACGGAGGAGAGAGCAGACGTTTGCTGAATGAAGGCATGGAAGGAGGCAAGGGAGGCCCGCAAAGGACCACCGTGGGTTGCACTGTTTGCTTTTAGATGGTTAGAGCCTAAGTAGACCTGCCAATGAATGTTCTAGAAAAAAAGAAGGTAATAGAGAAAGAAGAGAGGAAGGGAAGCAGAAATGGATAGGTGGGAGAAGCTGGACTAACTGAAGTTAAATAGTCTTTCTGACTCCAGCAGGACTTTCCAGAGAGCAAAGGACGTTGTGAATGTACCCCAGAGGAGTATAATCAGTATTTCCCAAACTTACTTGTCCATGGAACCTTTTCCTCAGAATACCTTTTGGGACTAATTTTCCATGGAACCTACTTTGGGAATCATGGATCTAATCCAATCTCTCACTTTTGAAAACGGTGAATTGCGTCCTAGCGAGATCGAGAGACGTGCTGCCAAGTCACGCCGCCTCCCAGGGACCCAGCCAGGACGAGAGTCTCCATCTCTTTCCCCAGATCAGCCCAGCCCAGCCCAGCCCAGCTCCTGACATCACCCTCTCCTGCTGGGAGTATGCGTGGGCTTTGTGACCAGCCCTTTCCTACAATCGAGACTCAACCTCCTTTTGTGACAGTTCCCAGAAGGGTCTGTTTGACATCAAGAGCTCCCCAATGGAGCCCGGCTGGTACAGCAGAAGCGGGGAGAGAGAAATCGGAGCTGAGGGGCATGATGGTTTGGGGGCTGAGGTTTCCAGTCCTAATGGGGTCACCCAATTGATGGACCATCTGTCCCAGCCTCCAGAGGGCCCCACAGTTCAATAAGTAGCTGCAGAGAGGCAGAACCACGTGCTGTCTATTTTTAGGAAGGTGGACAAGAAAGCCTTTGACTGATAATGTGGCTGCCAAGGAGGCAGACCACAGGGTAGGAGGCTGGGAATGTTGGTAAGAGCAACTTCAGCTTTATCTGTAATAGTTGAACTTTTTACAATAATAATAATAATGTATGTATGTAGTTCATGTATGAGTAGGAATAAATACATGATTAAAAACAAGCCAGGCACATAACAATGTGACTAAACTTAACAGTACTGAACCATGTACCTGAAAATGGTTAAGAAGGTAAATTTTATGTTATTTGTATTTTACCACAATTAAAAATAAACATACAAAAATAAATCAGAAACGATTTTGGACTGATTTGGAAAAAAAAATGAAGAAAGAAGAGTTTAGGAGGAAATATACCCAGATGTTGAGATTAATTGACCCTGGAGGTGAGGTTTTATTTTTTAAACTGCTCTGGACTTTTGAAAATTTGCACACATATAATGTCTATATACAATCAGAATTTGACATAGATTATTAGAAACACAAAAACAATCAGCCAAGTAAGAAAAAACATAAATAAAGCAGAAGCAGCTGATAAGGAAGTTGGTGGACCCCTGTGGCAACATTTACTTTCAGAGGCTTAAATAAATAAGCTTAGAACGAAGTTCTAGCAATACTGTTGCAGCAGAATGGCTATGCCTATCCTACATGGCTAGCAAACCAGTAGCCACCTGGTCTCTGGGCTGCGCGCCCCTGCGAGGCACAGGCACGCGCTCTCACCGTTCATCGCGGGCATAAACGCCAGGTCAAAGATCTTCCCCACCAGCACCTCCATGAGGCCAACCTGCAGGGAAAGAACGAGAACTCAGGCACCAGGCCACTGGGATGCCACGGGCTCCTTTGAGCTCTGCCCTGTGACCCAAGAGGAAGGTGCCAAGCTGCCCTGGGACAACCTGGGAGCTGGCAGTCAGAGCTCCGTGACTCCAGGCCCACTGAGCTGGAAGCTTGCTCTCTGCACAGATGGGGAGGCCAAGGCCTCAGGCATGCAACCTCTGGTCCAAGATTCATGGGGAGGCAGGGACAGAAGGAAGGCCAACTCTTCCCCAGGGGACACAGAGCACGAGGTCTGCAGTGGATTGTTCTGAAACCACAATATTGTTACTGAAGGTCCTTGGGCTCTGTAGCCCTTGCTCCGGGTTCCCAGCCCAGTTCAGCCTCCATGGACCTCTGAGAAGATACCATCACCTCGCTGACCCTCAGTTTCCTCATCTGCAAAGTGATCCGGTAAAGCCCAGCTTGTAAGGATGCTGTGAAGATTAGGAGCAGACCATGTAAAAATGCCTGGTCCTGAGCCTTTTCCTACCTGATCTCTCTTAGATTCTCTAAGCCTTGGTTCCCACATCTGAAAATGGAAGTGACTAATCCTTCCCTCATAGGGTGATGTCAAAGCCAAACTCACTTCATATATGTAGAAAACTTGCTGTGGTGCAGCGCCACACGGTGCTACCGAGACGAGAACATGGGACTTGCATCCCAGCGCTGCCTCTTACCGGCTCAGTGATCTTGGGAAAGTCACCTAGCATCTCTGTGTTTAGCTCCCTTATTTGGAAAATGGGCTAATAACTGTACTCAAGTCATCAGGGTTTTTTTATGAGGATTAAATGAGAATAGTTTGGGGGTTTTTTTAAGTGCAATTTAATTCCTGCTGCCAGTTGCAGTTGCTTCATAAATATTCACTGATTTCACACTAAGCGGTAGCTTCTTTTTCTACTTGGAGTCCAGAGATCCCAGCCGTAGCCCTGGCACTGCCAGAAACCAGTTGCGACGCATGTCACTGCCATCCTCTGGCACCAGTCTCTCCATCTGTAAAATGAAGCTGGCGATCCCGACTCCATGGGTTATAGTTGTTTGGGTTCAAAAAGCTCAAAAAACAGGCAACACAATGTGTATTTGACTATTTCTGCACATGTGGAAATCACCCAAGCTTGTCCTAAGAAGCAAGTGTCTGTTTCATTGTCAATTTATTAAAGGGGGGGGGGGGAATTTCTGAGGTCTTAATTAGAGTAGGGGACCCAAGAATGAACAGAGGTGAAACAGCACCGACCCCAAGACAATGAGTGTCTCAGGTCAGAAAAGCAGAATTCCAGAAAGCAGGGTAGAAGGGAGGTTAGAAAAAAATCCAAGCCTATTTGTTTTACAGATGAGAAAACTGAGGTGCAGAGAGGGTCGGTATTGTCAAGGTCATAAGGGAGTCAGTGGCAAAGCAGAGACTCCTAATCCAGGGAGAAAGGGGTCCCGTGGGACATGGCTGCCCCCACCCTGGCCTCGCCACCTTGGATTGAAGAGATTCGGGCCATGTGGCCCCCCGGGGGCAGACAGGTAAAACGGGACAGCGCCACAGGCAGAGTGGGAGCTCTGAGTCTGTACTCGGCCCCTCCCAGGCTTGTGGACCTCAGTTTCCCCACCTGTGAAACGAGGCCTGACAGAGCTGACGCCAGTGCTTTGGAATTCACAGCCTCTACCCCAGGCCCCAGCCAGGCCCATGGGAATGCCATTCCCGGAAGATCTCACTCTGGGGCCTGAGCTTGGTACTTACATCAAAATTGCCCACATTTGAGGTTCGGAGGTTGAGGTTGGTCCTGCAGACAAAGTACACAGCCAGTCAGAAGTAGTGGTTGCCTGAGAATCACGGGGGGCTTGTATGTCACTAAGCTATCAGAAGCACCTCCTGACGACTTCTCTTGATCTGGAGGGAGTTAGGAATGATGGTGGCCTCCAAGTCTTGAGCACCAACCATGTACCAGACATGATGTCCGGGCTTTCTATACCACATACACAGGGTTCCCAGGGTAGCTTCACCACCTGCGAGCTGTGTGTCTTTGGCCAAAATACTTAAACTCTCTGTGCCTCAGTTTCCTCCTCTTCAGAGTGGGTGGATGCAAGGCCTAAGTGAAGTAATTAAAATAAAGCCCTTAGAACTGTGCCTGGCACATGGCAAGTGCCACGTACACACGTGGGGTCCTCATTATCTTGTTTAGTCCTTTCAGCAACGCTGAGGGGAGGAACCTGAGGCTCCAGCTAGCCTGAAGGTGCTACAGAGCTCAGGAGGCGGGGCCCAGGACTCGTGCCCTGAGCCTGTGCTCTTGGTTGCTGCACTATTCTGGGCAGGGAGGCCTGAAGCCTGGGTTCAAGGGTTCTCTCTGCACTCTGAGGGCCTCAGTCTCTCTGCGCCCGAACCTCTCCTGCAAACTGACAGTCCTACCGAAAAGAGGCCAGACCAGACTCGCCCATGGGCCAGGCTCATTGGAGAGTCCAACAGCAAAGAGACAAATGTTTTACTCCTTCCCAACTTCCACTCCCAGTCCCCCGCGCTCGGCCATTCTACCCACGACACCCAAGCTCTCTCTGCCCCTCCAAGGCCGGCTGTGCTGCTTGCACTGCCGGAAACCCCAGTTCCTCGTGTGGCCCTTTGCATCCAGGCCTCAGGTCAAACGTCGCCTCCTTGCACACTCCTGGGTGGCTCCGATTCGTAACGTATGATTAAGTCCCATTGTTGAGCTTGATAAATATTTGTTGTAAGAATAAAAACTTATGAACTAGGCACAAGCTGAAATTTTTACATTCAATCTCATTTGTCTTGAAATGGGTATAATCATAACACTTACATGGGTTGATGTCAAAAATTAAATGAAGACACACGGCTTAGCTCAGTAATTGGTGCATAGAAAGCAACCAATGAATAATAATTATTATTATTATGAGTCCTATGAGGCAAGAACAATTATCCCCATTTTCAAATGAGAAAATTGAGATTCAGAGAGGCATGGTCACTTGGCCTGTGTCACACAGTGAGTAGTCACATTGTGATTTCAACCCATGCTGCTTGGCTCCAAAGCCCATGCTTATAACCATTCAACACAGCTCTGGGTCAGACAGACCTGGGTTGGCTCACAGCCCTTCTCTGTACTCAGGCTGTGGCCCTAAGTAAGTAAATCCACCTCCCTGAGCCCTAGTTTTCTCCTCTTTCAAAACAGGAGAATAACACCCTTGACTCCGCAGGCTAAACAAGGTGACGCAGATGAGCACCCAGGGCGGAGCCTGCACGGCATCATCACCGGCACCATCATTATTACTGATATTGTTACAATTGGCAGTAGGTTCCTTCTATCAAGCTCATGGCTTCACCTCCTGCCAGGCTCATGCCAGCGGTCTTGTAGTCCTGGCCCTCGTTCACCTTGGTAGCCTCCTGGGTTTACCCAGCACTGAAGCCATGACAGGAGACTGCTAGGCCCTCCCTGGAGCCCCCCTGCCCCGTGGGCTGGTACCAGACATGGAGCACCCAAGCAGCCTTTCTGAGGGGCAGGAACCTGAGGTCACAAATCCCCTTACTTGTCCAGCTTGGCATCGATCATGAGCTTATTGCTCTCCACGGAAAACGTGGCCAACAGTTCTGTGTCCTGGAGGAAAGAGAAGGAGAATAAGATGTCAGTGCCGTCATATCTTGGTCACTGCTTGCTGAGGGCTCACTGTGTGCCAGGCACTGGTTAGGAGCTCCATTAACACGGAGCGTTGCAGCAGGCTGTTCCCTGAGGTCTTGGTCAAACTTCCTTTTATAAGCCAAGACCACCAGTAGCACTCAGCATATAATGGACCTCTCCGCTCTGGAGGAGAGGGAGTTAGGAATAATAAATTGCCCTCCTTAATTGTTGTTCACCAGTAAATCACAGCAAGGGCTAATGAACACTTCTCAGAAAGACAGCTGTCACAAGAAGCCAAAGATTGGCACCAGGTATTTACAAGCTTCTCAGAGCCATCTCAAAAGGGCGGGGTATGCTGCAGCCTAGGAAACCTGCCTCAGATGAGCTCTTGGATGGGATTGGATATCATCACTGTCAATCATAATTGCTTTCCCCCAATGATAGGGATAAAATGTTGAGACTCATCCTCCTCTCCGAGCAAAAACCTCGTAGGAAAATCCCTCTGCTTCCTTGTCTCTTCCCCCACCCCATAAATAAAATAAACTAAGTCTTATGAAAAAAGTGAAGCTTCTAACAAATTCAGGTGACATTATTAATAATAACAATAATAACGATCATTAGGGTGCCTGGGTAATACGGCAGAGCCCTACTGGGCATGGAAATTATTCTACCCACTCATGAGGAAATAGCTTTTGAACTGAGCCTGGAGGATAGGCAGGATTTGGCCAGATGAAGAGGGTGTGGGAGTGGTCCAGGCAGTGCGGAAGGTATGTTGCAAAACCCTGGGGCAGGACAGAGGCTGCCGCTGCAAGGACAGAGAACAGGCCGGATCGAGGAGGTGACTGGACTCTAGGAGGCTGGAGCGGGACGGAGCCTGACCAGGCAGGGGTAGTGCGCTCGAGAGGACTCAGGCCTGCCCCCTGGGGGTCCTGGGTAGTCATGGCAGGGGTCTGAGCGGGATCAGATAAACACTGAGGCTGTTGACAGGAAAATCTCCACACAGAGGGACTAATCAGCATGGGACTGGGTTGGCAAGTGGAAGACATCCCCACTCACTGGGTGAGAATCAGTCCTTTGAATCTTTCATCTGCCGATGAGAGGCCCCTCCCCCACACTGGGGCTCAGCACGCTCCCAACCTCCCGGACTAGAAGTGGCTCATTTGGTCTTGAGTCCGGGGTGGGGAGACTGGGAAGGACAGAACCCAAATGTCGGAGTCTAAAGCTTTGACCAGGGACGGGGGAGTGGCACTTCATACAACCCATTCCTTTGACAATATTTACTAAGAACCTCTTACGTGCTGGACCCTATGCGAGGCTCTGGAGATCCAGACAATTCGCATCCTGCCCAGCAATAAACTAACAAACAAAGTACACTTTATAATGTCGGTTACGAGTACAGACAAAGTAAAGCAAGGGAGGCAGAGAGAAAGAGAGAGACAGAGACAGAGACAGAGAGAGGGGGGGGAGAGAGAGAGAGAGAGAGACAGAGAGATGGGAAAGGTGGGGATATTTTAGACAGGCGGTCAGAAAGTGGGATTTGAGCAGAGACCTAAAGAGAGTGAGAATATGAGCCATATAGATATCCAGAGGAAGAACATTCCAGGCAGAGAGAGCAGCATGTGCAAAGGCCCTGGGGTGGTATTGTGCCTGGCATGCGGAGGAGAGATTGAGGAGATGAAAGGTGACCAGGGGTTGATCTGGAAGGAATCTGTGGGCCATTGTGAGGTGATTGGTTTATAGCTCAGGACTGATAGAGCCTTTTAAGAAAGGGAACATGATTTTGAGGGGATTCCTCTCTATGAAAGAGTTGTGGAAATTATATTTGTATCTATACCCTGCTGGGTACCAGGGACAAGAGAGCCAGTACCATCTGTCTAGTTTGCCCTTCCTCCAGTATCTTGTAGAAAGCATAACACATAGTAGGTACACAATAAATATTGCTGAATGCATCACCAAGGCCTACTGTGCCACGCACTGTGGTGTACAACCTGTGAGAATAATAATAAGCAACACTTTTGGAGCCCTTACGAAACATTAGGTACTGCTTTGATCATCTTAATAATGCCCTGCTGCCATACCCCTGTGGCAGAGGAGAAAATCAAGCCCAGAGAGAGGGAGTGACTTGCCCAAGGTCACACAGCTAGAAGTGCTAAAGACTGGGTTTGAATCAGATCATCTGGTCAAGCTAGCAGTCACTATGGTGGGGACTGCAGAGATTTGAAGGACTCTGTGGACTCCCACGTGGGTGACCATGTAGTCACCCACACTCCCAGACACTCACCACATCGATGAGGCAGATTGTGGTCTCGACATCATTGGGTTGGGACACCATAACCTCAGAGGTGGCAAACACCTTCACCAGCGCTTTGTCCTTCTGTAGTGTCACTGAAGGTGGGTTCGGCACCTGGATCCTGATGGTGAGTGGGCGGGACTCAGGGTACTGCTGGAACACCTGCGGGTAGACACCAGGCCAGACTGAGCAGAGCCCTGGGTAGCTGGGGGGGTGGGGGGGTGCGGGCCGGGCGGGGGGCGGTGTCTCACACTGGTTACCACAGATCCAACAGCAACACTTGACTCTTACAAACCACTCGTAAAGGCTCCAACCTGCTGCCAAATTTGAGCCAAGAGCTGCCTTCTCCGAGCCTCTTACATAGAGTTAAGAATTATGTTTAATTCTTTAAAAAGTAACATAATTATTTTTTTTAAAAAAATCCATTAAATTGAAAACTCCTCCATATATAATGCAGTAGTGTGGGTCCTGGCCCTAGGGAGACTTCATTTTCTTGAACACATTCAAGGTGAAGATCTTCTGAGCAATCTCTTGGTCTATTGGCAAATCTAGTAAATTCATCCAATTAACAATTAGCCACTCAGTGAATTCACCTTTTGGCCCATTGGCTTTCAACAAATCAATGATTTGGTGAATTGGCTTTTCACAAAGGGATTTTTTCAAGATACTCCCCTGAGGGGTCTTGCATCCTAACCACCCCCAACCCAACAGACAGAGTTTTCAAGAACTAGCAGCACCTGTCCTCCCAGGGACGCTGAGGAGTTACCTCGAACTCTCTCCCCACAGCCACGGGAGACTCGGGATGCCTCTCCTGGCGACTTGCCCAGACTGGGTCTCCAGGAGACATTCCTCAGTGTCTAGCCTGGTTCCCCCGCTGCAGACACGACCCCATTTCAAGGCATGAGTCCCTGAGCTATCCCAGATCTGCTGCTGTCACACTGCGTGACTTCTCCAAGCCTCCGTTTCCCTATCTGTAAAATGGGTTATCCCCTTCTGGCCCTGTGGATGGGGGCATGATTAGCGCCAAATGAAAGAGAGAATTATTTTTAAAATTCATGAACTGTAAAGTGCAGGGCTCATAAGAAGTGGCCCAATAAATAAAAGTCCAGCTGGAGGGGTCCACCCCACCTCCTGGGAGCTGCCACTGCTTTTGACATCATGCATAATCACGGTGTTCTGCCATTCAGCTTTTGACCACATGAGGGCGATAGTGACTATTTGTTGAGTTTGGCCTCCTTTCTGACTGCTTGGCGTTCCACCCAGCACTAGACTAGACGGGTAAAAAAAGAGGTGAAAGTGTCTAAAATGGCTGTAGATTACAGAAATCCTTCACACCTGTATAACGCTTAGTACGTTATTTGCTTCCAGGCTCAGGACAACAGGCCTGGGACCAGAGTTGGTATGAAAACTGAGATAAGAAAGACCTTTGTTCCAACTATATATGGTCGCTAATCTGACAAGAGTGCATTTGCTTTCTTTTTTAAGAATTTGTTATTGTTAAAAAGAAGCATAATAATTAACATTTATCAAATACCTGCTCTGTGTCTACATTCAAATCCCAGGTCCACGGCCACCCTGTGAGGTGAACTTTGTTGGCCCGTTTTCCAGATGAGAAAACAGAGGCTCAGGGAGAAATCATTTGTTTAAGGTATTACGGTTGGGACGTGCTAAGCTGAAATTCAAATTCATGTCTCTCTGCTCCAAAGGTATGGTTGTTTTTCCCTGGAAGTCATCATGCCCCTGCATGTGCCCTGCATCAACATCTTTACATCTCCTCCATTTCCTTTATCCTCCTAGATGAACCAGTAGAACAGGAGTTAGCACCCTTTTTGACAGATAAGGAAGCTAAGGCTCAGAGATCTTAAGATGCTTGGGTAAAGACACACAGTAAGGCAGTGAGGACGCAGCCAAGCCAGGATTAGACCAGTGCAGGCCAGTCCACAAGTAGAGCTTAGGATCTTTCCACCTCAATGCTCCATGACCCTCTCTCATAAGGGTCTGCCCTTCAACCCATTTTTATTGCCCTTCTGGGGCGGGGGGCAGTGCATTCAGAGCACCTCACCCTAGTGCTGGCTGTTAGCTCCTGGGAGGGCGAGGCTGAAGATGAGGAGACGCGCCGTCTTACATACCTTGGGAATCAAGGCTCCCAGTGTGGATGTGGTGAGTGGAGGAAGCTCTTCAAACTGCAGGACAAGAAGAGTTATGTGAGTCCCCAAGGCTATGGGGACAGACAGGAGCTGCTAACATAGTCATGAACTCCTGCATGTTCTCAGACAACCAGTGGGAGCCTCTTCTCCCCCCTAAAAGACCCCTTGGGAGACCTTACCTGTCTAACAGCAACCATGTGGATCACAGCAGCTGTTCTGTGGTCAAGTGGACCGTGCCGGCCACCCAAGCTTACCACAGGTGTGACTTAGAGGGCAGGAGGCAAGACCTAACTCTTTGTCCTCTAAAAATGTAATTCTTCCTTAAAACAAGGTGGGCATCGGTGAGTTCACATGAAAGGATTCCAAACATTTATATGGAGATACATATAAATGAATACATATTGTGCTTTTAAAAAAGGATTGGAATAAAACTGAATAAAATTGAAGAGTGAGAAAGTTCCTCACCATATGACTTGATGTTGTTTAATGCCAGGTCTGCAAATCACTTAAAATCTTCCTAGTCACCATGCTTTTGTAAGTATTTACATAATTGATACATATTCATGAACTGGAGATGAGTCAAGGGGTGGACTGTCTATGTTCTCGCTTTAAAGCAATTTCCCCAAGGTTATGCATGGGACTGCAGGATCAATTGGAAGCTATTTGCTGCCCAGCCTGCCCCACCCCCAGAAGGGGCCAGGACTCACCATGCCATCGGTGATGTCAACATCCAGTGCCCCTTGCTTCTGCAGGAGAGTCAGCACCGAGCCCAGGAAGTTGGCAGAAATGGCCAGTTGGGAGTTGGTATTGTCACCCATGGGGGGCAATTCTGGCATCTCTTGCCTGGGAGCCATGGCTGGACGCCCCAGGGGGTAGTCGATGAGCCCTCCTCCAACCTCCCCAACGAGAGTCTGGGGAAACAGAGGGGAAAGGGGTCACAGGGAGGGGTGCAGGCACAAGAGTTGAGAAAGAAGGCTAAAGGCTGGGGTGAGACTCTGAATCTGCCTCCAGGCAGCCTTCCTTGATTAAACCCACTGGGTCTGAGTGACTCATTTATGGCCCTGACATCTTCTTCACTTTGTGATGGAATGGGATCTCTTGCAGATCCCACTTTAGCACCATTTATAGTTATAGCCACGGTATATCACCATATATTTTAAACACTCATATGACATAGATTCTTCCCCCCAGCCCTGCCATAACGAGTTAGTATGTTTATGTACCTACATATTGGTGAATCTACTCTCTGAAGACCAAAGTCTTCCCCATGGCCTACAAGGCATTGTATGGTCGACCCCAGCATCCTCCCGACCTTCTCTTGAGCCACGCTCCCCCTCCCCCTCTACAGAGCCTTGTCAGGGCCAGCAGGGCCTTGACAGTCCCTGCCACAACTTCAGCGAACCTCTGTGGCACCTCCCACACTGTTCCCTCCCCCACACTGTTCCCTCCCCCACACTCTTCTCTTGTACATCCCATTCATCTGGCAGGTCTCAGCTCAAGTGTCGCCTCCTTCAGGAAGCCCTGCGTGACCTCCTTGGGTACATCACATTCCTGCTTTAGGAGCCGATAGCCTGGGACCTTATTTCACAGCGTTCATGTCCTATACTTGCACATTTGTTTGCGTGATTCCTGGACGGCCTGTGCCCTCCAATAGACTACAAGCTCCATCAGCTCAGAAATCTTGCCCTGCGCACCATGGGACTTGCAGGCTCAGCCCAGAGCCCAGCCACACAGTGTTTATGAGTATTGTAGGTGTGTGTGTAGACATGTGCACAGGTGTGCTGTGTGCAGGAGAGTGCGGGTGTGCACTTGTGCTCTGTTATCTGATGGAGCAAGCGGGGCAGCACCCGTGTTCACACAGCCCAAGGGGAGCACGAATGTCTGTGCCCATGCAGTGAGGGGCCGGCCTCAGCGATGTGCTGGGCCCAGCTCACACCAGCTCCCAGAGCCAAGCCCACGTATCTCTTCCCAACTCCACGTTCGGTGAGTCATGTTGGTAGCTCGAAACTGGCCATGGTGGGAGTGTTTATACCACAGAATCAGCAAATGCTACAAGTCAGGATTTGTTAAGCATGACAGCTGGTTGGTAGTGCTTACCAGCACACCGCCGGCCAGATTCATTCCTCCAGGAAGCCCTAGCTCATAGCAGCAGCTCTAGGAGTTAGGATCCAGATTGCTTGGGTTCAGATCCCAGGTTCACATTTATTTATTATGTATGTGACCTTGAGCAAGTGGCTTAACCTCTCTATGCCTCAGTTTCCTCCGTAAGCATGCCTACTTCACATGGTTGCTGTGAGGTTAGCCAAGAAATGGGCTCGGTACACAGTAAGCACTTAACAAGTGCTGGCTGTGATCGTGATTTCTTGACACTGCTCCTAGAAGGGTCTCATCTAATCATAAAGGGTCCTGTTCAAATGTTGCTTCCCAGGCATTTAGCAGAAGCCTTCGAGGACTCTCCTTCCCACCCCTGCCAATAGGGAGGGTCCACCTCCCCTTGCCCCGGAGTCCAGGCACTCACATTGAGGTCCAGCTCCAGGAATTCCCCAGTCACAAGCGGGAGGCTGGAGAAGGTGTACTGGACACTTCCCAATATCCCCAGAGGAATCAGAGCTGCGGGCAAAGGTGGGAGTCACTGGGAGGTCCCCACACCCTCCCAGACCCCTTCCCTCCTTGTGCCCCAAGGGGTCTCAGCAGCAAGGGTCCAGCTCCAGAAACCATGGAAAGAGCAAGGGTTCTCGGTTCAAATCCCAGCTCTGCCCCTTCCTTGCTGTGTAACCTCAGGCAAGATGCTGCACCACCCTGAGCTACAGGCTCTTCATCTGTGGAATAGGCTGAACATAACTCCTTGGACTATATTGTAGTGGGCGGGGGGGGGGGAAGCAATGAGATCCTGGGTATTAATAAGCTTTGGAAGTTGTGAAGTCCTGTACACTGAACGAGAAGCTTTAGGATTCCTACATTGTGATGTTTCATTGAATCTGGCATTTTTCTGGCTGCTGGCAATGAACAGCCCCACTCTCTGGGCTCTTCCTCCCTTGTTTCTGGCCACAAAAGGAGGGAGTTTTACCTGCCTGGGAAAGCCATCCTCAAACTGCCTGGCATCGCAGAGAAGTGGTGCACAGCCAAGTGGGCTGCCCTGTACGGCTGCATAGGCTGCGCACCGCATGACTCAGACGCCACCACTAAGCTGCGGTCTACGTGAGAAGGGCCCTTGGAATCACGGCTACACTGAGCCGCACAGCAGTGAGGGGCGGGCAGGCCTTCAGCCGCGTCCGCTCAGAAACCCCGCTGGAGCCTGGCTCTGAGCACGCGCACAGTCTCCAGTGTCTCCTGCCTCTCCCTCTCCGACCCCTCTGTGGGATGAAGCCAAGCCCCTCATTTCAGAGCCGAGCAGCGCAGAAGAGTCACTTCAAGTCCGCACGGCTGCCAGGGCAGAGCCAGGGCTCAAACCCAGCCCCCTGACTCCCAGTCCGAGGGGCAGCCCCCAGGGCCAGGGGTGGAGCCTCCTCCCTCTGGGACTTTGTGTAGGCGTGGTTGGGGACAAAAGGGAAGTGCAGGTAGACTCTCCCTCAATGCATTAGTGACAGAACACGAAGGGCCTGAAGGAGGGTCTGCCGCCCCCACCACCCTGGGTCCTTCTCCCAGACATTGCTGTGCCCAGGCCTCTGTGACTGGCCACTGGTAAATGTTGGCCGAATAAAACAAAGCAGGAGGAACTTACAGTCCACGAGACCCAGCTGGTCGTTGACAAGACCCAGCACTACGTCCACGATGGGGCAGAGCTGCATGGGGAGGGAAAGCACGAAGTTCTGGTGACCATGGGAAGGGTGGTGGAAGGTGTACGCGGAGAACTACGGTGACAGCTAACGTTGACAGGCCCGCTCTGTGCTTGGCGCTGCCCTCCCCACAGCCCCACAGGGAAGGCTCTCTCGTCATCGCCATTTTACAGATGGGGAAACTGAGACTCAGAGAGGTGATATGACTTGTCACACAACTTGGAAGTGCCCCTGCTGGGACTCAAACTCAAAACTGTGTGATCCTCAAGCTCCACCTCCTTATCCCTTCACTCATCTGTCCCCCCACTTTCCTCAGGGTCCTTCCCAGACCCCGAGAACATGCCCCAGCCCCCAGCTCCCTCTGGGTCACCTGCTTGCCTGGAGGGTTGGAGGCTGGACTGTGGCCTCTCAGTGGGGAGAAAGACTGTGCTCCTTGCTCCCTGTCCCGGGATAGGTTCTTACCAAGTCAGGGAGGACATTGGCCAGGACTCGGTTCACTAAGTTGTCCACGAGGTTGGGGAGAAGGCTGAGGAGAGAGGAGCAGGATGATGAGAGGTTCACGGAGCTTGTCCACACCCGGGCTGTCTGAACAGCGAGAACCTGCTAGTGCTGGAAAATTGTTCTGAAAACTGGAACGGCAGCTGAACCGGCTACACAGGCAAATTGATTGCCTTTTCATTCATTCATTCACTCATCCATCCATTCATTCATTTGCTCATTCAACAAACAAATGCTTCTTGAGCTCTACAATGGGCCAGGCCCGGGCTGGGATGGTCCTGATTTTTAACCGCAAATGTCACACCCTCCTGCTCCTCTGCCCCTCTTCTAATGGACTGTTGGTTGCAGCTTTGCGTAATCTTCCCAAAGAGCAAATGAATGAATTATTTTATCCAAGCACCTAGCATAGTATCTAGTGCAGAATAGGTGCTCAATAAATGTTTGTGGGAAGGAGAAATACTGGCTGATCATTTGTACTCAGGTGGTCCACAAGAGAAAAGAAGTTTTTGGTGCTGAGAAGATTGGGAGACATGATCCATTCTACAGACAAGAAAACTGAGGTCCAGAAAAGGGACCCAGCCCAACTTCTAAGCACATTACCCAGCTCTAACCAGTGAGTTAAGGGGGAAAGAGATTATAGATACATAGACAAGAAACATAGATGGAGAGACAGACAGACAGACTTGTATTGCAGGTACTTCTTTCCCAGGCCCACAGTAGTAAGAAGGAGAGTGTAATGTGGCTATCGTAATACAACATATCACTGACCGCTTGGCACCCTAAGAATCGATTCCCCCCGACCCCACTGAACACTGCCCTGCCTGTGCCCCCGACCCAGGCTGTAGCGGACTGTCCGACGCTGTGCCAGTTTGAAAATGCAAAGAAACTCTTGACCAAAAAATCCTAATTAGCGCATTTCCCTTAAGCTTTTGTTTTTCTTTTTAAATGGATTCACACCTCCAGGGGTCCTTTCCTGGTTCCAGTTTTCCTTGGATGATAAGGCCCGTGAAAATACACATCCGTGTTTATCCATGTGTGCGGTTGTGAGTGTTGGGGAGATGGTTTGAAGTTAATCTATATTCATCCAGGGCACAGACTGTTTTCTTCTAGGAAATTATCAGATAGACCCATTGGTCCATCTGTGAAATGTATGCTAGAGGTTACTCATAACCGTATTTGTCAGAGCAGAAGATTAGACAAATTGCAAAGTCCAGCAATAGGGGCCTGGGCCAATAAACAGTAGTTCATCCAGTTAGAAGAATATTATGCAGCTGTAAAAAGTTAAACAAGAATTGAGGAAATGAAAAACAGAAAGTGCAAAACGGTGTCTATAGCATGTGCCCATTTGTGTTCAAAGTCGGGTGGGGCGTAAGAATCTACATTTGTGTTCGCTTCGTTTGTACAAAGGAATTGGCAGGTGAGCTCAGTGAGAAGGAGGCAGATGGAGGTAGTCTTTCCCTTTCCACTTTGTACCTTTTTGTCTTTTTATATTTTTGAATCCTGTATTGTCAACTGTATTTCCTAGCAAAAATGTGAATTTAAAAATCTGTGCGGTTTCTGTGCATTTCTCGCCCCTGCCTTCCCTCATTGGAATACCAAGGGCCAATTTTCTGGGGCTTTGCTCACCCTGAGCAGACTCAAAGAAGCTCACGAGAATCAGAAATTCTTGGTTCGAGTTGCAAAAAGAGCTTTTCTGCTCTGAAAGTGTAGATAAGAGGAGGGCTGGAGTGACTGGGCCAAGAGATTGATGAGACAGGAGGGGAAGGAGCAGAGGGCCAGCGGCCTCAAAGAGAAAAGCCAAGAGAGGTCCCCCATGCTGGGGCCAGGTAGCAAAGAGAAAGGGACTCAGTTCCGAGCTGCCCTGATGTGCAAGACCACCACCAGGGGGCAGTACTGGCCAGTACACAGACACTTGAAACCTCTCTGGTCAGAAAGTGGGGACTGGGCCACTCTGTGGGGATGGTGTAATAGGGAAAAAACTCACCCCCTGACTTGCATTGGACAGCAGCAATTTGGAAATATTCCCATGAGCTGGGACACTAATGGACACAAAACCTGCAAGGGCTTCCAACCTGCAGCCATGGGCCGCATGCAGCCCAGGACAGCTACGGATGTGGCCCAACACAAAGTCATAAATTTACTTACCACATTATGAGATATATTTGTGATTACATGTCTCAATGTATTTAATGTGTGGCCCAAGACAGCGTTTCTTCCAGTGTGGCCCAGAGATGCCAAAAGGTTGGACACCCCTGCTAGATGTATATTCAGAAACTTACAATATGCCAGATTCCACACTAGTGTTTTATAGTCATTATTTCAGTTCCAAAGGAAAAATAATTACCCCTATTTCATAGATGAAGAAACTACAGCTCAGAGAGGGCAACAGAATTGCTCAATGTCACACAGCAAGGACTAGTGGAACTGAGATTTGAAGCACAGGATGCTTCCATAACCTCTGCTTAACCACACAGTTTGCCAAAGACAAACCATTCCGCCATTCCCCAGGCACCCCACTGCCACCGGGACTCACCCTCTCAGCAGCTTGACTTTGATGCCGCCCAGGAGGGTGTCGCATCGCTCGATGACCAGCCTAGGGTAGCCTGTGCGGTCCATGGTCAGCCGGACCTTGGCCGTAATGTTCACCTCCACAGCGATGTCCAGGAAGCCAATGAGACTGGAGGAGAACCATGAGGCCAAGGAGGCAGAGAGTTGACCCCACCTCCAGGCAGCTCAGTGGCACCCTGGCCTGCCCGGTATCTCTCACCCTGGCTGACCCTGCCCCTGGCTATTATGCATCTATTATGCCCCTTCCTCATCTTCGGGGGGATCCAGACTAGAAGACTTCCTTGGTCCCTCAAGATATCAGTGAACAAATCTATGCCCCTGCCCTCAGTCTGTGGGCTCTTCAAAGGCTGGGAACAGGGGTAAAAAAATGAACTCTATGTATAAATTCTGGCTTCCAAGGTGACCTCCCAATGACCTAACTTTATAGACATGACCTCAATCTGCGGGGAGAAATCAGTGCAAAAGTCCCCGCTCTGAGGGCCTCTGATAAGCACTGCCGGGTAGCAGGCTCTCTTCAGGGAGGCATCTGCCTGCCTTCCCTCTCTTGCAGCCACAGCCACCTGGAAAAGGAGGAGTATCATGCCCATTGCAGGTGAAGATACTGAGGTCCAGTGATATTCAGGGACCGGCCCAAGGTCACATAGCTCGAAAAAGAGTTAGGATTTGAACACAGGCTGTCACCTGACTGCAGCCTCCCAGATCTCAACCGTCACACAGACTGCCCTCCCTGCCGACAGGGACCTAAAGGTGACCTGAGCTCAGAGGCGTAAACCATGCACTTGCTGGTAACACATTAGACCTTAGTGTTTTCAATTGTGGACAAAGAGGCTGAAGTATAGGGAAGGAAATGACCTGCCCAGGATCTCTTAGCCAGGACATAAGGTTCGGGAGTCCCCTTCATGGCCAATGGCACACACCTCTTCCCGTTGATGGCCACGCGGGTGTACAAGCTCAAGTAGACACCCACGCCGGGCAGAAGCCGAACAGACACCCGAGGGAGAGTCAGCTCCACAATCCGCAGCCTGCGTGGGACCGAGAGGGAGGAGAGGGCGGTCACCCCCGCTGCCGGCCATGCCACTCACCTGAGAGGGCCTTCCCTCACGTCCCCTTTTCTGTGCCCCATTCAACCTTCCGGACTCTGAAGAGACCTGAGGTTTGTGGTTGGAACTTAAAAACACAGTGACTAAAAACAAAACAATTGCCATGACCTGCGCTCCCACTGTCCAGAGACCACCTTTTCCATTTCCATGTATTTCCTTTGATTTTTTTTTTTTTAATTTAAAGATGCCATTCCTCTGGCTTGTCCCTGCCTCTCTCTGCCTGGTTTCTTCCTACACATTCTCAGATTTCAGCTCAAGGTCCTCTTCCTCCAGGAAGCCTCCCTTATTTCCCCCACTATACGCATCCTCATTTCTCCATGAACTTCTTACCACTGTGGTAATTGTAAGATTATTTCCATGTTCCTTTTTCAATGCCCATGTACCATGCCAGCCTACAAGCTCCACAAGGACAACAGATATGTCTTTTCTTGGCTAACCATGGAGCCATGTCTTCAATGCCAACACAGTACTCAAGCCATGGAAGGAGTTCTAAGTATTTGTTGAATTAAATAGTGAATATGAGGAAGAGGATGAGCAGAATTAAAATTAAAATATATAGTGTATATGATTTTAAATCCTTGGGCTTTGTCCACCTAAACTATATTATTACGACCATTCTACAGGTGGGGATAATGAGATGCAGAGGAAAAGAATGAGCTGGGACTCAAATTCAGGACTGTTTATGACAAGACCTAAAACCATACAATGTGAGACTCTCAAGACTTCCAGTCCTGAGGCCAAGCCCTGAGGTGTCCAAGGCTCTGAAGATCATCTCTCTTCCAGCTTCAGGCCTGGGGGTGATCACCCCTGTTTGGAGATTCACCATTAGTGGCTTGATAGGGAGATCCCAGCCCCTCCTTACCCCGTGATGCCTTGCACTGTGCTCAGGATGCCGCCCTCGCCGAGCACGCCCAGGAGGCCCCCTCCTCCGAGAAGTCCTCCGTCACCAAGGAGACCACCTCCGCCAAGCAGGCCACCTTGTCCTGACAGGATGCCTTCGGTTGCCAACATGCCACCAGTGCCCAGCAAACCACCTGGACCCAGAGCCCCAGTGGCTACACCAGGTGGGAGCTCTCCCGGCCGCAGCTCTCGCCGGTGAAGCCTGCCCACGGTCGCTGTACCCTTGGCTGACCTATACCGTGGAAAGCCCCTTTGGCCACCCTGTGCATTCACAGCGTTGCGGTAGTCGCTGTTTCGGAGGTCTCTGATGCTTCCATCAGGCTCAAGGATTTCACCATATCGGTATTTGCCCCCTAGCTGAGCAGCGTTGTCATTGGTGTCGATGCGACCATACTTGTAATTACCGCCAAGCTGGTGGCCATTCGTATATTTTGGGAGAGCATCTCGGACATGGAAGTCGTTGTATGGAACACCACCAGCACCTCGGGGGAATTCAACGTTTCTGTAGTCATCGTAACGGTGTCGGCCACCACCCAAAAGACCACCACCACCACCACCCAAGAGACCACCACCGCTGCCACCCAACAGCCCCCCACCACTGCTACCGCCGCCCAACAACCCGCCACCGCTGCCACCCAACAGCCCCCCACCACTGCTACCGCCGCCCAACAACCCGCCACCGCTGCCACCCAACAGCCCCCCACCACTGCTACCACCGCCACCCAATAAGCCTCCTCCAACTCCACCCAACAGGTCACTGCCACCCCCTCCACCCCCACCACCAAGCAGGCCCCCCAGAAGACCTCCCCCACCACCTCCACTTCCACCAAGCAGACCCCCCAGGAGAGGCCCACCACCATCACTACCAGCTTTACCCATGGGCACCTCTCTCAGAGCTGAGTGGAGAGCATCGCTTTGTCTCAGGTTGCCAGAAATGGCTGCAGAGAAGCAAAGGTGTCAGTTAGAGGTTCCTCCCTTCCTTCTACCCCCAGCCCCCAGGTACCACCTTGGAGCACTGGCTGGCTCTCTGGGCCCCACTGTCCCCACGGGGAAAGTGCCGAGGCCGCATGGGAAGGCTCCTCCAGACTTCCTGGTGAGCTCATGAGCTGCTGACTTTGACCTGCTCACACTCTAACTAGGTTTCAACAGCATTCAGCCAAACCCGTATAAATGCTCTCCCTCTCCCATCCTTCCAAGCGTTCCACACTCTACAGCTTAAAAAAAACCCTACTTCCTCACGCATTATCCCAACAGATTCCTGGGAAATAGTCAGGGTCAGAATTATTATCCCCATCTTATGGATAAAGAAGTTGAGGCCTGTAGCACTCAGATAGGAAATGATCTCATTTTTTATTCTCATAATAGCCTCAGATGGGAAGTGGGAAAGGGAGATTAGAGATAGGAATAGTTATAGCTCTCACTTTTGAGAGCTATCCATTTACTGGGAGTTGTGCAAAGTTTTCAAAGGTCAATTTGTTTAATTTTCATATTTGTCCTTTGAGATGAGGACTTTAATTATATCCATTTTGCGGATGAGGAAACTGAGGCTCAGAGAAGACAAGTCACAGACTTAAGGTCACACAGTCAGTTTTTGACCCCAGGAAGACTGACTCCAGGACCCAAGCACTTAATCACTGCTCTCTAGTGCCTCATGCATAAAGTTCCCAACATGGTGTTTGGCACATTGTAGGTGCTCAGGAAATAGTAGCCAAAAGTAAAGGGGGAAACTAAGGCCACCCATCCATCTGATATAGACTCTGCCAGTGAGGAAGAGGGCCCTTGGGAACTTCAACGTTGGCAGGACTACCCTGCTTGCCCAAAGCCACCTCTACCCACTCCAGGGCTGGACTCACCATTGCTCAGCACGTCTTTGGTAACTCTGAGGACAGTGTTTGTCTCTTGGTGGACGCCACACACAGCTGCCACAGACAGAGCAGCCACACACCAAGCAGTCCACATGGTGACACCGTTTTCCTGCTGAGGGGGCAATGCATCAGATGGCTGTAGCCGGCCATCCTCACCCTAGCCAGCAGGTGGAGCTAGGCACCTCCTTCCAAGAAGCATATCAGGGCCCTGAGGCCCAGAGCCTGGGAAAAAGGACCCCAAGGTCACACAATGGGGCAGAGTCCAGAATTTCTGATAATACCTTCTGAGTTTTTCAAACTGAAATTAATCTGGAGATACAAAGCAGACCCATTAACTAACTGTCCCAGGACATGAATGTTTGATTATCTCCCAAGATGAAATTTCTAAATGAAGCCCCAAGGAGAGAGGTCATGGGTATTTCAACCAAAAAAGCAAAACTGGTAGCAAACAGGCTCTGGGGAAATCTCTCTAGCATCTACCCCTTTGTTCACCTACCCACCCATCCATCCTTTCTTCCACCCATCCATTCATCCACACTCCCGTCTACTCCTCCAACCATCAGTTCTCCCCCTCTTGTTCGTCCATCCATCCATCCTTCCAACCATTCTACCATTCATCCATCCACTCACCCATCTACTCGTTCAACCACCCATCTCCCCCTCTTTATCCATCTATCCTTCTATCCATCTATGATCCAGCCAGCCAATGAGCCAGCCGTAGATCTATCCTCCTTTCCACCCTTTCATTCATTCTTCCATCAGTCCATTCACTTATCAACACACTCACATAGCCCCCGCTCCATGCTTCTAGCCAGCTGGCTGGCCAGCCAGCCAGCACCCTCTTCCACCTCTTTGCAGGAGACAGTTCTACCATTGGGTTAAGATGAAGGGCTCTGGAGCGGAGCTATCTGAGCCTAATCCTTAGTCAAGAGACTTTACATTTTTGGACCTCCGCTTCCTAATCATAACATATTATATCAGGTATACAATAGACACTCAATAAACAGCTTCTACTGTTATTGTTTTGGGACTATTATTTCAGACGTCTAAGAAGCGGGTCTTACGTTATGAGATCAGGGGCTGAGACTGGAGGGGTGAAGCTGCGTGTTGGGATGAGCTGGGAAGCCGCTGGGAAACGTCGTGTTGCTGCCTTCGTGCCAGTGCCCACTTCTCTCCCTCCGTCATCCCAGTCTGCCCAGTCATGCGCCTCAGACACTCACCACCTCCCATCTGGGCCCAACTGAACCTGCTGGCTTCAGCCCCTGCACTCCTTCATCCCCTTCCCTTTTCCCTGCCCCCATTTCTCTTGAAGTCCGCTAAGCCCCCAAGTGTTTTTCCCCACGCCCATCTCCTCCTGGGAGAGTATCAGAGGCACTCATTTATACTCGACTATGAAGGACTAGTATATGTAAAAAACTTTTTTTCTGTCTTCCTGACCTCATCCTAACCGCCCCCCACCGCTCCCCACAGTTCTGTGTTCAAAAAGATATCACCACCTTCTGTTAAAAAGATGGGTTTTTTAAAGAAGGGATACTGAGCACCAGCAAGCACCAGACCTCAGCCTCCCCCAGCCAACCTGGGCACTGAAAGGGAAGGGGCTCTTCCTTACCCCTGCGAGGTCCCTGCAGTTCAGTCTTGAAAGGTCTCATTCACTGGGTGCTCTGCTGGGTCTGGTCACAGGCTCTTTATATACTATCTAGAGTCCAAGTCCAAACCCAGAGAGGGAAACCCTGAATAATTATAAGAGACCAGAAACCAGATTTGCTCTGCAAATCAGGCATTGAGCCCCAAAACCACAAGGGTTTGCGGTTTGCAGCTAATTCCAAGAGCTGTGCTCAGCCCCGGATGGTGTCACATGAGCTGGGGCTTATCAGCCCCTGGTCTAGGCACATTCCTGGAGACCCCAGGTAGGCCCCCAGACAGGTGGACTGGAAACCCTCCCAAATGCATCTGTCTAATTTCCAGCTCCAAGGCAGACGCTGCCCACCCCAGGTGGCCTGGGCAGGCCGAATGTGCCCAGACTGAACTCAGCATCAGCTGGCCCATGTCCAAAGACTGCTCAGCCCCCAGCTCACTGCATGATTTTGAGCCAGCCACTTCCCTTCTCTGTCCTTGTTATTTCCATCTGTTAAATGGGTATAATACGTGTCTCACAGGACTGATTTAAGAATGCAGGAAGATGTATTGTATACGGACAAGACTCTTCAAATTTGGGGCTGGTGTGCAGAAAACAAGCCTCTTGGCTTCATTTGACCTACAGGGTTTCTCCCAGTAATTCGTTATGAAGTGTTCACACATACAGCAAAGCTGAAATAATTGTATGGTGAGCCCCCATATAGTTGCCACATTACACCCACCAGCTACTTCTTTTATCACATATCTATACGTGTATTTGTATTTCAAAGTTGCAAACAATAGTACGTGTCTCTCTAAACACTTCAACATGTATGCCATTATGATTCTTTTCTTTAAATGTAAAATTTACATGCACTGAAATTCACAAATCTTAAATGGTTATTTGTTGAGTTTTGACAATTTTATATAGCCATGTAGCCCACACCCCTATCTCAATATAGAATATCTCCATCTCTTCAGAACATTCCGTCCTGTCCCTTCCCAGTCAATACCTGCTCCCACCCCGCAGAGGCAACCACTGCCCCCTCCAAGACCACTGGGGCACAGCCCAGACCTTCTCCTTGGTGTTCAGGGGGAGTCTGCCTTCCACGCTCAGTCCTGCTTCTGCCTGAGCCTCCTGTCTCTGGGCTTTTGCACGTGCAGCCCCTGCAATCTAGAATGCCTTTCTCCTGATTCCACTGGTCAAACTCAGGCAGAAATGTCAGCCGCTCTGAAAAGCCTTCTGTGACAACTGCCAACCTCGACCCTTTCTCTGCACCACTCAGGGTCCTCTGCAGCCTGTACTAAGATGGGTTGCACTGGGCAAACCAAGCAAAGCAAGCCTGGGCCCCACTCCTCGCCCGGCACAGGCGCAGATGCCCGCGTCGGGAATGAATGAGTGCATGCATGCTTGCTCTCACTTCCGCTGGACAAGGAGGTCTCCCAGTCCTTCCTGTTTCTCATCCCCCAGCCCCAGCCTTGGTCCTGCCTCTGTGTTTAATTGATGCCACCTTCTCCCTGCCCCCACTTAGGTCCACCTGAAAACTCCTCTGGAGTGATGGGGTCTTTCTCTCTCCCTGCCAAGCCTGCTCAAGTCAGAGTAAGAGTAAATGCGATTCCCTGAATCCCAGAAGGAGATCCTTCCTCCTCCTTCCTGGGAGGCAGCCGGAGCTCTGACAGCAGGCACAGCTGACGGCAAGTTCGCCGATGCCAACACTGGCTCCTGGGCCAGCCTGTCTCTGAACTCAGTTTCCCCATCTGCCGTGGACACACCAATAAATCAAATAGGCCCTGGAGATGGGTTCTACGCTTGAGTTCTGCTGCTAGTTCTCTCTAAGCCTCTGTTTCTTTGGTTTCAAGATAGTGGCTAGAACAACCTGGCCTCAAAAGAATGTTGCGAGGGGTGAGTGACTTAATCAAGCAACGTGCTGAGAACAGGGCCTGGCACACAGTGGGTGCTCAGTAGTTGGCATTTTTGTCTTTATCATTTTGGTCCCTGCTGGCTCCTTGTGGCAGCAAGTCTGCAAAAACGATGAGGGGTGTGAGGAGGTACCTCAGCCTGGGACCTGGACCGCCTTATACCCCACCATGTGTGGGGGCTGGAAGGGCTCTGGGGACAGGGGTCCCAAGAGTCATGCACACCTGTTTCCACCTCCCATCTGCCCTATGTGACCTAGACGGTCACTTTTCCTCCAGGATCTCAGTTGGGTCATCTGAGAAGTGAGCGTAATTGCACTTTTCCAGTAGGGTTTTCGAGGATTACACAGGAACCTTCCAGGATGTTCCTGGAGCCTCGTGGAGGCTCAGTAAACAGCAACCCCCTTTCCGCTCCCATTGCCTTGCTCTTAGTGTGATATAGTCCTTGCTAAACAAGTATATTAAGGTTTTAAACTGAAATACAATGCAAGAAGGGCAATGTGCCTCCTCCACCCACTTCTGGCAGGGAACAATGCACATTGTAAACTGTAGAGGGCAGTGCACACACAAAGGTGGTTACTGTCAGTCACCTGAGGCTCTGTGCCTGTCCTCAGTCCTAAGCCAGCCAGGCCCTGATGGCCACAAAACAGGCCTACCCCCTGAGGCCCCAAGAGGATTAGCGTGATTCTAGCACCTCAAGGAGATCACCTGGGCTTAGTGTCCCAAAGGCACCTTTGTCTGAAACTGGAGGGACCAGATCCTGGAAGGTGACTCACACAAAGGTGACTCAGCCACACAGGGGGCCACATTACGGGGGGTGGGGGATTCACACAGTGGCTGCAGGGACCAGGAAACAGAATCAGTCCATTCAGCCCTTGTCTCCCTCGTGAGTGTTAGCCGCCAGGGCTGCACGCTCAGTAGAGGGGCTCCCTGCACCTCTTGTTTCATCCCCTCACCCTCAGTGTGACGGTTCAGAGTCTGGACTTTGGACTCAGGGCCTGGGTTCAAATCCTCACGTTGTCACTTCCTAACTGTGTGGCCTTGGGCAGTCACCTCTCTGTGCCTCAATGTCCTCAACTATGGAATGAAGGTAAAAATAGGTCCCAGAAAGGAGGGTTGATTCAAGGAGTCAGTGACATGCTGTATCTGAAGCACTTAGAACCGTATCTGGCACTTAATAAGCATACGATACATGCAGTGAATATTACTTTTGTAGCATAATAGTGGAAAGCCCAGGCTTTGGAATTGGCATCAGAAGATCTGGGTCGAATCCTGGCTCTACCACTTCGGAGCTGTTCAAAAGGGTGTCTAGTATACAATAGGTACTCAGTGGAGGTCAGCCGCTCACATTGCTACTCTGTGCACCCCCACGTCTCACCACGATGAAGCAGATACCATCCCTGACCTTGAGGAGCCCCTGGCCTGGGGACAGAATGGGACCGGGGCAGTGACAGCCCAGTGTGGCACACAGAGAGCAGGCCCTGCCTGGGGCGTGGGGTAGCTGGAAGCTGCACGCTGCCTGCGTTCTGTGTATTGAGGGATAATAGGGGTTTCCCTGACACA